TGTCAACTTTGGAAAAAAGTATCCCAGTTACCGCGTTCAGTTGGCATTGTAAAAAATTAACAGCCATTTTGTTCTAGAAATGTTGAACTTAATTTTTTTCCATTTGTACAGGAGTAACGCACTATATTAAATATGTAAGGTCTTAAAAAAAAAAAAAAAGAAGGGATTTTGAGAGCCCATCCCATATGGAGGGAAGGTCTCTTTACCTGGACACATGGGGAAGGGCCTAGGCCTGGCCCAGGATGATGTGGTAGACTTTGGGGAGCCCCTTTTGAGGGCCTTACCCTGCCTGGGGAGTGGAGGGGGGATGGCTAGGGGCATGAGGGATGTTCCTGGGGAGGGTGAGGGAGAGGGAGAAGGGATTGACATCTGAAGCAAGCTTGTTCCTAATTTGAACTAATAAAAAAAAAAAAAAAAAAGAAAATCTCAACATGGCTTTAAATTGAAACTATAGTGGGAAGATAAACAACTCTGTGCATGACTCCAGTGTCAGGGACACTTCAAATTAACAGGCACAACCCTGGCTGAGACCTCAAGACTGCACCTTGGTCATCGCTCCTGCATTATCATGTCTGCTATGGATATGGTGGGGTCATGGATCCTGGCATGGGTGCCGACTTTGGTCTGGGCATCACATGGTTTCTTCAGCTAAGGCCCTTTCTGTAAGACACTGAACACTATTCATGCCACCTCTTGGAGACAGGCAGATGACAGATATATAATGATGGGGAGGAAACATTTTCTTCATGACAAGAATCTCCCTGGTTCATAGGGTCCTCCAGGCTGTTCATAGAACAAGAGGACACTGGAGGGCCCAGCCAGGAGGACTGAGCCACTGTCCATGTTGTGCTTCTCCTCTTGTTATTCCTGGGCCCCAGTTCGTTCCTTTTGCGTTTCTTGCTTTGAGGGCTGATTAGGTGGTCACAGGGACAGGGACACAGTCCCTGAAGCTGCTGATTAAGAGGGAACAGGACTACCACACTGCCGATGGGTTATTCCTTTTAAGGCAACTCTGCAGCTACTTTGCAACTTGGTGCTTACAACTAAGGAAATCAGATAGACTTTGGAAAAGAAACAGCACAAAAAGAGAAAGGATAACCATGGAAACATATTTTGGTTCTGAGCTCTTTAGAGAAGGCTGAAGTAACATGGGGCCTAGAAGTAACCCAAGGCCTAGTATCTTTCCAATCTACCAGCTTCAGAACAAAGAAGCTGCAGATTAAATGAAAAAAAGCTGTATTGTTAGACTTGAAGAGCAAATGATAGGCTTACTAGGCTATAACATGTGAAATAAATGTTTTCTTAATTCTGCATGATTACTAGCTTAACTAAACTTAGCACCTAACACTATTGTGAACTTAGTACCTCTACTCCTACTAGGAATCGTGGATCTCAACACTAATTCTAGCACTATGATTTAATTTTTATTTATTTATGTTTTTATTTCTGAGAACACTATTTGACTTAAAACTAGTGACAGCATTTTATCTTAGTGGGAAAAAGAAAGAACATGTTTTTGATAATGATTTGATCTATCAAAATCACACTAGATAGACTATTGTCTTCTTTTCAAGACTAGGAAATGACATCCATAAAAATGGCTGCATGACATAGATGAATACTGAACCCAATTATTTTATAAACTATTCAAAGTCCACCATAAAGTAAATCACTTTTCTTTTCATTTGATTCATTAATTCAAACTGGACAAAGTAACTTATTATTAGCAGAGATAACTGCTATCTTTAAGAGGCATTAGGGCCAGATTCAACTTGGCTTAGGGTGGTTCTAGCTTTCTGCCCCAAAGTTCTAGCCTGAGAGTATATATGTGTGTGGTTCTGGGACAAACCCAAATGAAATTTCAAAGAATAATTACCTAAAAAACTGAAAGCACTTACGGGCACTATGCTTTTCACAATTATCCATATATTAGAAATAGGGTTCCTGTGAAATGCAGCTGTCATTTCCCTGGGCAACAACATGTATGATAAAGCTGTTACACTCCTGGTAGACTACAGCCTCTAGTTGAAGGGCCTCCCTGCATAGACATTGGGAGGAATATGACCACTCGTGATTGAGCACACCATAGTCTAAATTTACATTTGCATAATTAAGATAATGCTCAAAAACAAAAGGATCAAAACTCTCTAAAGCCTAGATATGCTCAATGGAAGGTACAGGCAGGGGGACCAGGAAACTGTCTCAAAAAAAAAAAAAAAAAAAAGCACAAACCAAAGATCCTAAACCCTGGAGTGAGGACAAATAAGCTACAAATCAGAAGCTTTAGAAGAATCCAATACATCTATCAAAATGACAAAGTTTGGTGGAGTTTTACCTTTTCAATACTGTTCTGTATTGCTTGGGTGGTTTTTGTTTGTTTGTTTTTCTTTTTGACACATTGATGATTAGCATTACATATAAAAGTTTTATATGCTTAGAAGATACTGTGCTTAGAAGGAAATCTATTATTTTGGGGAAGAAAGAAAAGAAATCTATTCCAATATTAAAATAAATTGGCACTTCCTCTAATCTCTACTCCCTGTGTTTTCAAGTTACTTATAGTCTTTCTCAAGTGCATTTCCAGGGGAGTTAGTGAATGAACTGCCATATGATACTCACCCTAAGTCCACCTGCTGGTGGCCCTGATGTTTCCATCTGCTTTTCTAACTGTTCTTTCTTCTTCCTCTTTGCCTCCACCGAGTGAATATCCAAAATCCCCCGAGATGCAGCCTTTAAGAAATTCAACCAAGGGAGATTACAGAGAAAAAGCAAAAGTATCTGGTGTCCAAAGGTGCTTGTTTTGCTTTTTAGCTTTTCATTTAGGGGTGGGAAGTTGGTTTGCATAACAGGGCAGTATGCCATAAAGCCTTGCATAAAACAGTCATTTTGCAACCACATCCTCCTTATCAGCATGGTGAGTTTATCCTGAGGAAAAATGCTGTCACAGGACAGGCTTAAATGCCAAAGTCATCTGGGGCTGTTTTCACAGTAAATGTTGTAAATGCATGCAGTTCATGGATACTTGGAAATCACTTTGAGAATGGTTATCTTTGAGTATAAAACTATGTATGTCATCATGTACTTTACAGCAAAGGAACACGACAGAAAGTAAAATAGAAAGTGAAATAAAATACTTATTGAACAGGCAAACTATTGTGCTCTCACCTCTTTCTGTCTTCTTTCTGCTGCCTCTGCCAGCTTTGCTCTTTTCTCTTCCTAAGAAAATACATAACATGTTTCAAGAGAAAAATCAAGCATCATAGACCCCCTTACACACCTTTACTTTAGAGGCAACAAAAATAAATAATTATGTGCAAATTGAAACAGTTTGTAAAATCTTAGTATGGGTGCAAAAGCCTCACAAAGAAAGTCACTGTAAGAGTCCACTAAGGTGTGCTGGAGCTATAGTTTCAGATTCTAGTTATGTGAGGCTGAGGCCCAATCAAGACTAGCCTGAGCAACATGGCAAGAATTTAACTTCACTCAAACAAAATAAAACAAAATAATCCTGAATTCTACCAATATTACAATATTTATTAAATATTTAACTTCCTGAATTTCATTCTCTAGACCAATATACCAATTAGCACATGTAGAAATCAATATAAGTTGGCCTGCAGGATATTTACTTCTTAAAAAAAATGGACTTACATTGGGGATTAAATGTTTTTAAAATGAAGTTTAAACCATGAGGGTAATTTGGAAGTTAGTTTAAAATGGGAATGAAGCAGGTTGGAGTTTGGGAAAACATTTAGAACCAGTGGGCTGATCTCACTGTGTTGGATCGGGGAGATAAAGAAAAGAAACTGGGGGGGGGGCACTTGTCTCAACTCTGGAAACACCATGGTATTTTTTCTATGCCCTTTCCTTATTAATTATAAAGTCTTTAAATACATTCAGACAACAAGTAGCATTATCTTGGTGTGTGATTTTAACCATTTTTTTCTCCACACCAAGTACACACATCTATCCATCACAATGATTGTCACCAATTTTTCTAGGCACTAAGAACACAGCCATGAAATACAGACACCCAAACAGACTTGAGTTCAGTAAGCAAATATACATCTGTGTGTCTGAAGGAAGTAACAACTCAGGAAGAGATACAATGATCCTGATGGGTAAGGAATAGGAGGGAGGTTGCTGATCCTACAGCTTATTTATGAGCTCAGGGAAATCTTAGGTGCTAAGTGAAGTACACCAGTGAGCCCTGTGGTTAAGGGAAGAGGATGGCAGTGGGGACAGATGGCATAACAAATGCTGACAGGAAATTTTTCTCAGGAGCTAAAACACAATTTTTTGTTGTTGTTGTTGTTGTTTTGTTTTGTTTTTTCGAGACAGGGTTTCTCTGTGTAGCTTTGGAGCCTATCCTGGCACTCGCTCTGTAGACCAGGCTGGCCTCGAAATCAGAGATCCACCTGCCTCTGCCTCCCGAGTGCTGGAATTAAAGACGTGCGCCACCAACGCCCGGCGCTAAACCCAATTTCAACAGTATCTAAAATCAACAGGAGCCACAAAGGAAGGCTAAACTTTCCAACATCCACTAAACAGTCACTTTACTATATATAACCGAGTAGCTAACGGACTAATATACTTCCCTAAATCTCTCATTGCTTCAACTAATTTTTAGCTACACCAAGAACCGATGCAGAGAGAAAAATTAGATCGTTATGTTACCAAATACAGGTAAAAGTATTAATACAAACATACTGTTAGAGCAAAGGGCTTGCTTATATTCGACTTTCAAATAAATAATGACTGTTTTCACATACATACATCCCAAACACAGCACTACTGGAAACCTCTAATCTAAAAGGCATGACTTGTTTATGTGCAATTTAAAGCTGGGCAGGTCCCCAGCTGTTACAAACCAAGCAAAAGGAAGCAGCAGGTTAATAAAATATCCACTATTTGGCACAGGGAGCGGCGCGTCCAGGGCCTTCGCTGTACAGCTGGTACTGACAGGAGAAGATGCCCGTGTGTAGAGCAACCCCCTAGGGACAGGACAGCCCCCACCTGCTAGGTCCGAGGAGGGTCCGGAGGACAGCCTCGTGGAGTGTCCAACGGCCAGTAAGGTGCACCTTCCACCTAGATGCACCACCGAGTTGGAGTAGCGCGAGGTTGGCTACTCACCGGGCTCGGGGACGGCGGGGCGGACTCCGCAGGACATGGTAAGCACAGCCCCATGGGGACTCTGGCACCCCAGGCCTGGATCGGGATCTTCACCCCAGGCTGCAGCAAACCCCGTCCATCGACAAGTTCCGCCCACACCTGACCCGAGGCAAAGCCCCGCCCTGAGGCAAGACCTGCCCCACAGCAAGACCCTCCCCGACCTGAGGGGCAAGATCCACACTGAGGCAAGCACCCCAAAAGCGCCGCCCAACTACAAGCCACACCCCTGTCCCGCCTATGGCAAACCCCGCCCCACCCCACATAGCAACAAGCCCCGCCCATCTAGGCTTACCGCAAGCCCCGCCTCCAGTGCGAACCTGCTACACCTGACCCGGCTGCAGTCTCCATTCATCCGGTCCAGCATCAAGCCCTGCCTCCGTCGCAAGTCCCACCCAATAAGGCCTAACAACAACTCAACCCTTGGTCTTCTCTCTGGCCCCTGAAGCCTAACTATGGCAGAGCCCCACCCATCTGCGGCAAGCCCCGCCCCAGTATGGTCGCCATCGTTAGGCCCCGCCCATTCCGGTATGCTCCACCTGATCCATCGCTCCGCCTCACCCACTTCACTGTCAGTCACTCCCTCCAAATGAAAACTCATCAGCACACCCCTAGGCTCTCAAGGCTCCACCCTCGAGGCGGAGCTGATTTCTCACCCTCTGAGGCTACGTAGGGACCAGGTCTGTGCAGAGCCCAGGAGCTCTGCACATGCGTACTTAGGTGTGGGCAGGTGCCTGTGGAAAAGACCGTTGGGATTGTAGGAATTCTGGCCTCTGAGGCCCTGGAACCTGGGTTTTAGTGCGCGGTCAGCTGCCTTGTCTGCCTCCCAGCGGGGTCAGTGCTGTCGGCGCTGAGCCAGCAGGAGGAGAAAACCGCCACTTAATCCCAACTCAGAGTGAATCGCGACCACATTTTCCTCATGGGACACGATAAAGTCCACCCAGAAACACTTCAGTGAAGTGCAGCTCAGCTTTTCATAAACGTGAGACTCCCCTGGCATCTGGCTAAAATTAGATTTAGGAACGCTAGGGCCCAAACTGACATTCATGTGCAGAGCATGCCTCCCCACACCAAGGCTTTGCGGTTATTCTGACAGCCTGTATTTCCCAAATCAGCTATTTGCCCGCGAGCCCAGCTCATGCCTCCCTTCTTTTAGATGGAGCAGTTGGCAGGTATCTATAGGTTCTGTCTGCCGGGCTGTGTAGACCGGAGACATTTCCTTTTCTCGTTTTCACTCATGTCTTTCTTCTCTTCCTCCCTCCCCTTCTCTCTCCTTCTATCCATTTCTATTTCTCTCCTCTCTTCATAGATTATTCTCAAACACATTACGTTTAAGTGAACAAATGCTTCCATTTACTTTGGTAAACACACAGAAACTATTATTTGAAGTAGCTCTGCTTCAAAATAGTCAAGTGAATTTCACATTTCTATATTTCTATTTCTATAAACATGTGAGATTTACCCCACATTATCGACTTGCAATTTTTTGTTTTTCCATTTTCAAGAATTTTCACATTTAGTTAGTTTCAGGTTTTGATAAATTTCATGGAACTACAAAGTACAATAAACACAAATTCATCTCAGGTGTAAGGTTACTACTCTCCATGGCCTTTGTGTTTGCTTCAGCTTCACCAATCTGCTATTTCTTCCTAACTACTAATCTCTGACCCCACTATTCTTAGCGAATTTACATTAGAAATCTTTAAATATTAAGTTGTCCTCTGCTGATTTAAGATGTTCTCCTCCGAGCCTCTTCGCACTTTGGTAGCACAGAACTTTACCAAGGACCAGAGAGCGATGTCTGAAATACAACACTCAGAAGTGGTTAGCACCTGTATTTCCCCATATTTGTAGAGTGTCTGACTTCGTTAACTGCTCCCAAGTGAGTAGATGCAGATGCAGGTGGTCTAAGGGCATGGTATCCTGTATCCTGAAATCTTCCAGATCCTTTCCCCTGGGTCACTGTGAAGGCTAATCTTGATTGCCAACTTCACACCCGATTAAGAAATTGCCTCTTTCATGTAAGAAAAGTAGTTGAGCTTCAGCCAGGGAGCAAGCCAGTAAGCAGTGTTCCTCCCTGGTTTCTGTTTCCAGCTCCTCCCTTAAGCTGTTGCCTTGGCGTACCTGGATGCTGAACCACACACTGTTATATAAAGTAAACCCTTTCTTACCCATGTTGGTTCTAGTCAAGTGTTTTATCACAGCAATATAAAGCAATTTCAAGGTGCTCCAGCCTTTTATTCAGTACATGTAAGTTCTGTCTCCTTCCTAATGTAAATATGTCCTTGTTTATTCTATTACAACTTTTCTCTATATGGGTTTTCAATGGATTTATTGTAATTGAAATTTTTATTGCATAAATGGCAAGAAAACGATTTGTAATGCAAGGTAATTCTATTTCTAACCCTTTCTGTCCTGAAATGAAGCTGTCCACAGGAGTGTTCTATGATAGTTTTGTGGTAGCAAACTTGGAGAAGCTTTCTGTGAAGATGATATGCTTATTATCTAGGAAAATAATGATGCATGAGGGTGGAAGCCAGGCAGGTTGGCTAGTAGCCTTTTAGGTGATTTGGGGGGGGGGGCTTTTCCTGGCTGTGACACAAGCCCATTGTGTGCCCAGTGGCCTCATTGACACAAGTGCTTCCTTCTCTGTTGGTTAGAGTTTTGTCAACTTGACACTAGCTAGAGACATCTAAGAAGCAGGAACTGCAATTGAG